CCTGCCTAACCCGCTCGGCGCCGCCCGGCTGCGCACACCCGGCCTGCCGCTATGCAGAGCGCCGGGCCGCGCCTGCCCGCCCCGCAATCTGTATACAGGACTCGAGCCTCCGCCTCTGACGCCGGGCCGCTGCTACTCCATGCCGAGGCCCGGGCGGCCTCCTCCAGCCCGCCCGCCAGCCCCGCAACCTGGATAACTGTATGCCCCGCCCTCCGGGAGCGGCATTGCTAGGGAAAAGGAGGGGGAAAGGAAGCCCAGGAGCCCGGAGCGGCGCGCGGGTTCCGGGGAGAGGGGGAGGGGGCGAGGGCTACAGGGAGGATGGAGGCGGAGGGATCCCAGCCGCCTGCAAGCTCGGGAGCCGAGAGGCAGATTACACACGTTCCCGGGACGCGCTGGGAATCGAACCGCCCAGGAGAGCAGCTTCCAGTATAGCGCGGGTGCTGAGTCCGGGAGGAGCGAACCTTCTCCTCCGCCTCGGGGCACGGATACGAGCAGGATTAGCCCGAATCGAACGCCACTGGAATAAAAGAGCTCTTATTGTACTACATGCAAAACAGAAGCGTTGCCCAGTTTACTATATGCAAAATAGACAGGCCCTCAGTGAACGCGCCTTAAAAATAAAAAAGGAACCCCTCCCATCTTCATGCTGGAACTCTCTAAAATGCACACACCAAGTGGCAGGTCTCCCGCCACCTCCTGGCCCTACTGTGCACACGGGGCAGAGGAGCTTCTGGCTTTCGTGCCCTTCTGCGGAGTTGGGTTATGTTTCTGCAGTCCAGGCATTGGGGCCACGGCGTGCTCCGCTAACGAGGCGGTGTTACAGCAAAGCTGAAGCTGGGTGGCTAACGGGGCCTGGAGGGAAGAGGCGGGCAAAAGCGCCCCCGCCCCTTCTTCCTCCGGTCCCAGCCTGCCGCTGCATGCAAAGCAGACCCTAATGTATGCACACAGAGGGAGGGGGGCTCGCGAGCACGTTTCTGATTAAGAGAGGGGGAGAAAAGAGCGTTGGGCATTATGATCCTCGGGTGGAAGGGGCCCGCCAGCGGCGAGCTCTGTGCGCGGGGTTAGCTTGCTGAAGGGGGGAGGGGGAAGAAAGGAGGAGGGATAGGGCGGGGGATGAATATCCACCGGATTTACTTTATTGCGGGAAAGAGCCGAGGGCGCCTCTAGCAAGGCGTTAGAATCCTGCAAGGCTGGGAAAGCCGTGAAGGGAGGGAGGGGTTTGTGCCGGGAGAACTTGCGTTGGTTGAAGCTGGGGGATCGATACCCAGCCAGCAGGCCCCGGGGCAGCCTCCATCCCCCGCAGTTGAGATAGAGTTCGCTGGAAGGTCACGCAGCCTTTCTGGACTCCCGCACCGGGACTGCGCACTGCTTGTAATATTACAGCCTGGGGCGGCAAATTTGGGAAGGAGGGGGAGGGTCGTGGTGAGCAGGTTGCAATCAGCTCTGGCCCTCTGGAGGGTGCACTACACGCCTCCAGAGAAGGTCCACGGCCTCCTGGTGCTGAAAACCTACGTCCTTCCAACGTTTGTGCCGAGTGATTGATGGAGTGGGAGATGGAAGGGAGCAGATAAGGGGAGAAGACACAAGAAAACCCCAACTCCCCGAACTCGTCCCGGATCGATCATCGTTCCAACTGGGCAGGATGGGACCCAGATGGTTTGCAAAGCGCACACTCACACAACGCACGCACATAACCAGATTCCGTTGTTACATCGCGTGGTTTACTAGGTGCAAAAACGGGTGAGAGAAGCGGGAGAGTATTAAACGGTAGCTCCAAGACTCTGCTAAGGACGTAGACACCCCATTTTGGACGATTTCTCCATTACAATATATTTAACGTTGGGCTCTGGGGGTTTTGCTTCAGTGTAGCTGCACTGATCAGTTACAGATTGGCGACCACGTGGAGTCCCTCAAGCATCCTGATTTGTTCCTTCTTCCACTCTGTCTCGCTTATTTTTCTTTTGTATTTGCCGCCCCCCCCCTTCTTTAATATGCATAACGGTCTGCAGAGGTAGTAGGCAGGGGACTGAGTGACAGGCTTTTATATAACTGTGTCAACAGGATTTCTTCCCGCCCTCCTCCCTTGAGAAAACATAAACGTTCTGAGTAACCTCCTCACTTCAAGCGCACTTCATTTAGCACAGGTGGGAGGTCTGCAGGTTGGGTGGTGGCAGCAGCAAGAAGAATGTCTTTGAAGATTGTGAAGACTCAAGCCTCTGGGCAGGAAAAACTCCTTGAGAAATCATCTAGTTTGTATCTTTGCCTCTAGACTAGTCCAAAAGGAGCCAGAAAAAATTTTTGTTTATTGTTGGAGTTTTTAGGGCAGAAACAACAATAGCAACTAACACTTATTGAGTGCTTTCTGTGAGCCTCAGGGGTTTTTGAAAAGAGAGAAAAGTGAATTTATTGAAACATTGAAGGTTTCCATCAGGCCCACCCATTTCACCTTCAGCATCCAGGTAAAAATCCACACCCAGTACAGGTGACACAAAGTTCCATCACAGAGAATGTGAGCCTCAGTATTTTACATGCATTCAATTTTCACCAATCCTATGAGATAATTCTGATTTTACAGGTGGAAAAATTGTACAGATAATTAGGACCAAAACTCATTGAGGTCTGACACCGATGTCCACTAATCATACTACTGATCATGAAAATTCATTCCTGGGGCTGGAGGTGTAGCTCAGTGATAGAGGGCTTGCCCAGCATGAGTGAGGCCCTGGGTTCCTTCCCCAGCACCAAAAAAAAAAAAAAAAAAAAAAAAAAGAAAGAGGTGGGGGAGGGGGGCTGGGGGAGAGTGGGGACAGTGGGGAGGAGTCTGTACTTACTCATAAATTACCTTAAATTACATGGGCTGGGGCTGGGTTTGTAGCTCAGTGGTAGAGTGCTTGCTTTGCATATGTGGGGCAATGGGTTTGAACCTCAGAGCCATATAAAAATAAATCAATAAAATGAAGGTATTGTGTCCATCTACAACTAAAAAATAAATTTTAAAAATTACATAGGCTGTATTTATTTTTTAGTTTTAAATTTTAATTCATTTTTCTTGAATACCTAATACATTCAAATGATTAAAGTTTTAAATTAATTTAAAAATCTCATTCCACTAATTCTGAACAACCTCCCCAACCCTTATATATCTTACCCTTTGTAGGGAGAAATGTTATCAGTTGTATATTCTTTTTTATTTTTAATTTTTTGTAGTTGTAGATGGACAGCATGCCTTTATTTTATTTGTTTATTTTTATGTGGTGCTGAGGATCAAACTCAGTGCCTCACATGTGTAAGGCAAGCACTCTGCCACTGAACTACAGTCCCAGGCCAGTTGTATATTCTTCCAGAGATAATCTATGCCTACTCAAACAAGTACACATAGAAGTTTTTCTGTATGGAAACATATTAAACCCACTTCCTGTATCTCAATTATTTCATTTAATATAACTTGGAAATCATTTAACTGTAGACAGTTTCTCTATTCTTAGGGCTGTTTGAAATACATGTAGCTTAATTTAACCATTTCTCTATTGGTGACCACTAAAGTTGTTTCCAATCTATTGAATTTCAAACAATGCTGCTGAGTACAACCTTGAACATATAGCATTTTGAAAATCTGCAAATATATCTGTAATATACATTTCTAGAAGTGGAATGTTGAGTCAGAAGATGTGTACATTTGTAATCCTGATAGATATTACCAAGTTGTCCCCAAAAGGTTTTACTGATTCATACACTCACCAGCAATGTATAAGAGTCCCTTTTTCTCCACTCCCTTCCTGAAAGCATTTTTTAACCTTCTTGATTGTTGCCAACCTAATAAAAATACGCATCTTTTAAATTTTTTTCCAAATAACAGAACTAAACTTTTAAAATGGAATCCCAAATTTTGCCCATTTCTACAAATTCACAAATTATTTCTGACTTCAAAGGGACCTCCAGATGTTTGCTACTTTTTCCCCTCCCCCAAAGATTTCTCATCAGAAACCAATACTGTAGAGGAATTAACATGGGCTCAGAGTTACAATTAATGACCCATTAATGTATGTAGAGATCGGCACAGTGGCACAAGCCTGTAATCCCAGTGGCTCTGGAAGCTGAGGAAGGAGGATGGTGAGTTCAAAGCCAGCCTCAGCAACAGCGAGGCACTAAACAACTCTGAGACCCTGTCTCTATAAATAAAATACAAAATAGGGCTAGGGATGTGGCTCAGCAGTTGAGTACCCCTGAGTTCAATCCCTGGTGCTAAAAAGAAAAAAAAAATGTTTGCAGAATAAAAGTCCCTTCATAGCTGCACTCTTGAACCTTGGGATTCATACCAAGGGGTCTGGTTTTATCAGAGGATTTTGGCAGTTGCATGTACTGGGCTGTTTTTATTTAAAATCAGTTAAACTATCTCCATCTGAAATTGTACCAGTGATCAAAGTTCATATTTTCCAAGGGAAGAATATGACATAATTATTACTTGACTATAGTTGTTTCACCTTTCAGAAACTTGAAAGAAAGATTGCACTAAAGCATTTTCTTTCCCCCTCTTCCCAGTTGCCTCTAAATTATACTCGCATAGTAGACTTCTGATGGGTATCTTTACCTTCAACCTTTGTCCTTTCTAATTTTCATTGTTTCATTTATTTAGTAAGCACCTACTTTGTCCCAGGTACTGTTAGAGTTGGAGACACAAATGTGCTATCTTACTGGATGTTTGGCTCATGCCTGTAATCCCAGTGACCTGGGAGGCTAAGGCAGGAGGATCTCAAGTTCAAGACCAGCCTCAGCAACTTAGAGAGACCCTGATTCAAAATTTATAAATAAATAAATAAATAAGCTATCTCAAAACTTCACAGAAACACAAAAAGGCATGGAGTTTTGAGAAATAAGAGCACTTCAGGGCTATTTGAATGTAAGATACATGTAGGATAATGACAGAAGGCAACTGGCCAGTTTATATTAAGGAGTTTGGATTTTATCTTTTTTTTTTTAAAGAGAAAGTGAGAGAGGAGAGAGAAAGAGAGAGAGAGAGAGAATTTTTAATATTCATTTTTTAGTTCTTGGTGGACACAACATCTTTGTTGGTATGTGGTGCTGAGGATCGAACCCGGGCTGCACGCATGCCAGGCGAGCGCGCTACCGCTTGAGCCACATCCCCAGCCCCTGGATTTTATCTTATAAAAATGGAAAAAAGTTGTGGGGTATGGTGACACACATCTGTAATTCCAGTGGCTCAGGAAGCTGAGGCAGGAGGATTGCAAGTTCAAAGCCAGCCTCAGCAAAAGTGAGGCACTAAGCAACTCAATTAGACCCTGTATGTAAATGAAATACAAAATAGGACTGGGTGAGCTGGAGATGCAGCTCAAATGGTAATGCGCTCGCCTGGCATGTGCGGGGCGCTGGGTTCCATCCTTAGCACCACATAAAAATAAAATAAAGATGTTATATCCACCAAAAACTGAAAAATAAATATTGAAAAATTCTCTCTCTCTCTCTCTCTCTCTCTCTCTCTCTCTCTCTCTCTCTCTCTCTCTCTCTCTCTCTCTCTCTCTCTCTCTCTCTCTTTAAAAAAAAATAGGACTGGGGATGTGGCTCACTGTTTGAGTGCCCCTGAGTTCAATCCCCTGTACCTACCTGCCAAAAAACAAAATAAAATAAAAATGGAAAAATTTCAAGCAGGTTTCAAATTGTTAGAATTTATGAATCTATGTGACATCATGGTGGCAGCTGTGTGTAAGAAGGCAGGATGACAGGGAGACTAGAGGCAGAAATGCAGGTAGGGTATTTCTGACCTCTTTCCAGAACCTCAAACCCATGTATCCACAGGCACTAATCCACTCATGTATAATGAATGGAGTGGAAGTAAATGTGCAGAAATGAAGACAGACTCCAAAGAAATTTGGCAAACAGAATGGCTTTTGATGACCACTGGGACTCAGTGGCTACAGAAGAGGGCCTTTCTTGAGTTGTCAGCTAGGGTAGATGGGGACAATGGAGATAACAACTACCAAAATAAGAACAGGAGGAAGGAGAGAGGGGAGGTTTTTGCTCAGAGGTGATGAGTTTGGTTTTGGAGTAGTTGAGTTTGAGATGCCTGCAGGATCTGCAGCTGGGGGCTGGATAAATAAATTTATCTGATAGGCAATTGGATAAATTAGACTAGAGCTCAGGAGAAAAGATAGAAAACAAAGACCCGAGACTGAGCAGCACAGAGACAGTACTTAAATCCATGGATACGTATGAGACCCTACAAGAATGTATGTAACACATAGAAGCAAAGGGTCAAGAGTAGAGCCAGAAGAAACCCAA